TAATCAAAGAGTTCGAAAGGAATTCATTATCCATTTTGCTGCGAAATCTCAATTTCACAATTTTCATGACAAAAAATACTCTTTCTATTATTACTAGTAGGGTGAAGACATCCTCCACCTCCACATGCGAGGTTGGCAAATATAAAATACGGCAACATCTTATCTCTTTACTCTATCACTTTTTACAATGGCAAAATACCCAAATCCACCCCCCAAGTATAGTGGCAGAGACGGATCCATTCTCGAACAAAAAACGGGGACAAATTCACCCACAAAGTTTTCGACTTGGACAAATAACCCATATTTGACGGGCCACGTCAACTGACGTCATCTTCTCGTTAACTGCGTGCTGACTCATACATTTTAAACACGGTGGAGGTTTTTTTGCCTGTGTGGATGTTGAACTGACCCATTCCCGCCCATTTTAATCCTATGTGGCAACTTTTCCCCCTTTTCCATTACACATCAACTGGGTCCCACCTAAAAATATATAAACATTAAAAAAAACCCATATTTTATCTGTGTTTTCCCCCTTCCTTCGCTCTTCTATAGTTAGGGTTTCTCTTTATCCTCCAAATCTGGGTTAGGAGAAAATATTTCCAAGATAAAATATTTACACTTGAAAAATATTTCCAAATGTAAATATTTATTACAAGATAAAACAAAATTAAATACCCAAAGAAATTACGCTTACAACATTCAAGAAGTTTGGGCACCCATAAAAGTTTCTGCCAATGCTCCATGGTCTCTATGAAATCCACCTCGGTGCCTTGAATCCACACTTGCAGAACATCTGATGCCTTTCATATGTGTGCTCCCTCACCCTAGAAGAAGTTTCAAGTCCTGCTAATCGAGAATTAAAAGAAGATGCCATGGACTTAGCTTCCCCTAACCAAAGTGCGAATCCCTTACCTGTGCTCCCACAATTGAGACAATAAAATTAGAAATAAACATTCAAATATAATTAAGAGAAAAGGAAAAATCAAAAGACCCTGACATTAAAAATATTAAAATGTCTAATTATAATTACATGATAAATTTGATGAACTTAAGATTCATTCTATACCTCACATATTTAATATATGTAATTGGAAGTTGTGACGTATGATTTTCCCTTTTCTTACAAAGTAAAGGCTACTCAAAACAAAAATAAGCAGAATCATGTCGGAAAGTTATGTGTTTGGCTTTACTTTAACTTCTGGAAATGCCAAAATGAACACATATACCTGCTTTTAAGTCTTCCCTGTAACCTTCTAACTCCTTTAACTCCTCCCTTTTATGACTCTAACATCAATTACACTAAATTAAAGGTCAAATCCGAATAAAACAGGCTAAAAATTAGTCCACTAAAATGATTTGTAGACAGGAAACATAAAGACATGAATCTAAGGAAAAAGTAAACAAATGAGATCTGAAAGAAAGAGATATAATCGAAGCTAAAAAAACAACGGTGGTGGCAACATCTCAGCACAAGGCTGTAGCCTTGATATTAGCGTGTTAGGGGGCCAGTAATGGACTCCCCTGCTACTCAACCACACGTCCCACCTCCCTCGATTCTTTCCTTTGCACACAACCGGACTATCTCATCACCACCGCTCGATTGGACACCAGATCTTCTTTTCCGCCATTCCGTATGTCATCTGTTCCTCTTCGTTCCTCTCATACTTGATCCATGAGCAAATCCCCACAACCAGCCACTTGTTCCCCTCTTTCAACTGTTCCACCTTCTCCCCTACCCACCCAAACTGATCTGCACATCCCGGCATACTAGTCAAGACTTGGTCAAGTGTTGATCATATGGTTGCGTGTTCAGCTTCCCTTAACCCAGATTTGGAGGATAAAGAGAAACCCTAACCACAGAAGAGGAAAGGAAGGGGGAAAACACATATAAAATATGGGTTTTTTAATGTTTATATATTTTTAGGTGGGACTCAGTTGATGTGTAATGAAAAAGGGGGAAAAGTTGCCACATAGGATTAAAATGGGTGGGAATGGGTTAGTTCAACATCCACACAGGCAAAAAAACCTCCATCGTGTTTAAAATGTATGAGTCAGCACGCAGTTAACGGGAAGATGACGTCAGTTGACGTGGCCCGTCAAATAATGGGTTATTTGTCCAAGTTGAAAACTTTGTGGGTGAATTTGTCCCCGTTTTTTGCTCGGGGGTGGATCCGTCCCTGCCACTATACTTGGGGGGTGGATTTGGGTATTTTGCCTTCTACAATCAAACAATTTTTTTTTTCCTTTTTACAAGTTAATTACACTTTATACTAGTTTGTCTTCATTTTATACTAATTTATCTTCCTATTGCTTTTCTCTATATGACTATATCCAAGGTTTTTCTTTTTATTGGATTTATATAATTTTTTATGATAATAAAAAATCAATAAATTTCATTACTTAAATATTACTTCGTCCATACTAAAATAATAAATTTTTTGTTTTATCTTCAAATGAAGGATTTGAAAACAATTTCTATCTTTACTTATTTTATACTTAAAAAATAACTAAGAATAAATATCTATTTCAATCAGAAGATAAATACTTAAAGTTAAGAGATAATTATATAGGGTTAAAGTAGAAAAAATTATTTATCTTCCTTAAAATAAAAAAATGACTATCATTCTAGGATAAATTGTAAATAAAAAATATTAATTACT